CATTACAAAGCTACAATCATTAAAACAGTATGATAATATATAAACAGGCAGACAAGCTTAAGACAGGACAGAACAGAAAGTTCAGAAATAGAACCACTGCACATGGGGCTTTAACATATGATAAAGGTGTTTCAAGTCTGCAAAAAAATTGAATAAGTGGTACTGGGTCAACTAGACAACTATTTGCAATAAAAAACTGGATTTCTTGGGTCGTATTTTATATTAAAATACATACATAGATTAGTGATTTAAATATGGAAATGAAATCCATAGAAGGACTAGCAGAAAAACATGAAAGATTTTTTTACGTAATTGTTGAGTGGGGCAGGAATACAAAACTCAGAAGCCAGAACAATTAGCTAAATTCAACTACACAAAAAAACTACATGGAAAAAACCAACATAAAAATCAGAAGACAAACGGAATATTTGCAACTCATCATACAGAGCTAGTTTTCTTAAGAAATAAAGAGCTCCTCCAATTTAATAAGAAATAAGCCCACAGAAAAATGAGTGAAGGCTATGGACACACAATTCACAGAAAAACAACTAATGCTGCAACACACAAAAAAACGCAAAAAGCTCAGTACCTCACACAACAATTCCAAGCAGCGACCACTAAAAATCACTACAAACAGTGAAAGAGACACAAGGGAATTAAATATCCATTTAACACAAAAGAAAAAAGTACTAGAGGAAGAAAGAGAAAAAAAGACAGAAAAATAGAACAATGGCAGACATCAATTTTGACTTATCAGTAATTACGTTAAAGGTAAGTAGGTTAAACACTCTGTTCCAGCAGCGGAGACTGGCTGAAGAGATTAAAAAACATGACCAACTATGTGCTGTCTACAAGAAACACTTCATATTCAGAGATGTAATGAAAGTAAACGGATGGAAAAAGATAGACCATGCAAACAACAACAAAAAGATACACTAATATCATACAAAAGAGCCCGTAAGACAAAACCTGTTACTAGAGACAGTGAAGGCCATGTTATAGGAGAAAAAGGTCAATCCATCGGGAAGAAATAACAAGTATAAACCCATATGCACTTAACAACAGAGCCCCAAAATACATGAAGCAAAAACTGACAGAATTGAAGGGAGAAATAGACAATTCAACATTAACAGACGGAGATTTCAATGCCCCACTTACAAGAATGGACAGGACACCTAGGCTGAAGATCAGCAAGGAAAGAGAAGACTTGAACAACACTATCAACCAACTCAACCTGTCAGACATGCTCCGTGACAGACAGGTCACAGAACACCCAACAACAGCAAAATACACATTTTCTCAAGAGCACACAGAACATTCCCCAGGATAGAATATATGTTAGGCCATAAAATAAGTCTCAAATTTCAAAGGACTGAAATCACACAAAATATGTTCTTTGGCCACATGGAAAGAAATCACAACTCAAATAACAGAAGGGAATTTGGGAAATTCAAAAGTACGTGGAAATTAAACAACGAACTCCCATCTAATCAATGGGTAAAAGAAGAAATCACAAGAGAAATTAGAAAATACTTTGAGATAAATAAAGATGAAAATATAACATACCAAAACTTAAGGGATGAAGCTAAGGCAGTGCTTAGATGAGATTGATAGCTATAAACACCTACATTAAAAAGAAGATAGATCTCAAATCAATAAGCTAATCTTCCATCTTAAGAAACTAGAAAAAGAAGAGAAAACTAAACTCAAAGGAAATCATAAAGATTATAGTGGAAATCAATGAAATAAAGAATGAGAAAAAAACAGAAAATCAACAAAACCAAAAGTTGGGCTTTGACTAGATCAATAAAATTGATAAACCTTTAGACTGATCAGAAAACAGAAAGAGCAAAGACTCAAATTTCTAAAAACAGCAATGAAACAAAAGACATTACTACCAACCTTACAGAAATAAAAAGAATTACAAAGGAATACTATGAACAACTGTGTCAGCAAATTACAACAAATAACCCATGAAACAGACAAATTCCTAGAAATAGACAAACTACTGAAACTGACTCAACAAGGAACAGAAAATCTAAACAGACCTATCAAAAGCAAAGATAATGAATTAGTAATAAAAAAAAAAAAAAAAACTTCCCACAAAAGCCCAGGACCAAATGGCTTCACTGGCGAATTCCACCAAATGTTTAAACAATTAACACCAATCCTTCATAAATTCTTGCAAAAAAGAGAAGAGGAGGGAACACTTCCCAACTCAATCTGTGGGGCCAGTAGTACTCTGACACCAAAGCCAGATGAAGACATCACAAGAGGAAAACCACATCTCATGAATATAGATGGAAAATCCTCAACAAAATACCAGCAAACCAGGTCAAGAGAACAGCAAAATACTAGCAAACCAAATGCAGGGACATGTGAAAAGGATCACATCATGACCGAGTGGGATTTATCCCACAAACGCAAGGGTGGTTCAACCCACGAAAAGCAATCGACATCAGACACCACATCAACAGAAAGAAGGACAAAGCCACACGACCATCACAGATGCAGAAAGGGCACCTGACAAAACCAACACCCTCATGACAAGAACACTCATCCACTAGGATTAGAGGGGAACTGCCTCAACCTGATAAGGGGCATACACAAAACCCACAGCCGACATCACACTCCATGGTGATGGCCTGAAAGCTCTTCCCTCTGACCGGGAACACAACGGGGGTGCCGCTCCCACCACCCTGACACTCAACTGGGAGCTCCAGCCAGGGAGGTCAGGCAAGAGAAAGAAATCAAAAGAACCCAAAATGGAAAGGAAGAAATGAATACTTCTGTTTGCAGATGACATGACTGTGTGTACAGAAAATCCTAAGGAATCTACACACACAGACACATTAGAATAAACGAGTTCAGCAAGGTTGCAGGATACAAGACCAAACTACAAAGATCAGTTGTATTTCTATACATTAGCAGTGAACAATCCAGGAATGAAATTCATAGAACAATTACATTTACAATAGCATCAAAAAGAATAAAATACTGTGTAATAAATTTAACAAAATAAGTGCACAACTTGTACACTGGAAACTACAAAACACTGTGGAAATAAACTAAGGACCCAAATAAACAGAACGATATCCCAAGTTCATGAATCAGAAAATTTAATATTAAGATGACAACACTTTCCAAAGGAGTCTGCAGATTCAACAGTCCCTATCAAAATCTCAGCTGCCTTTTTTTTTTGCATAAACTGACAAGCTGATCCTAAAATTCAAATGGAAATGCAAAACAACCTTGAAAAAGAACAAAGTTGGAGGACTCACTTTCAGATTTCAAAACTACCACCAAGCTACATTAATCGAGACATTGGCATGAGGAGACACAGGTCACTGAGAGCCCAGAAATAAACTCACACATTTATGGTCAACTGACCATCAGTAAAAGTGCCAAGATAATTCAACAGGGAAAGAATAATCTGTTCAACAAAGGGTGCGGAGATAATGCAACATCCACGTGCAAAAGAAGGAAGTTGGACCCCTACCTCACACCATATACAAAAATTAACTCAGAATGGATCAAACACCTAAGTTTAAGAGCTAAAACTATAAAACTCTTCAAAGAAAACACAGGGGTAAACCCTCCTGACCTGTTAGGCAATGGGTACTTAGATATGACAAAAAAAGCACAAGGGACAAAAGAAAAAATAGACAGACTCGGGTTCATCCAAATTAACAATTTTGTGCTTCCAAGGACGCTATCAAGAAAGTGAAAACACAGAATGGGAGAAAATATTTGCAAATCAAATAAAGGTCTAGTATCCAAAACATAAAGAACTCTTATGAATCAAAACAAACAATCCAATTAAAAATGGGCAAAAGATCTGAATCAACATTTCTCCAAAGAAGACACACAAATGGCCAACAAGCACATGCAAAGATGCTCCATATCATATCAATAGGAAAATGCAGATCAAAACCACAGTGAGAGACCACCTCACACTCACTAGGATGGCTGAAGTTAAAAAGACAGTAACAAGTGCTGGCGAGAGCATGGAGAGACTGGAACCCCGCAGGGTGGTGGGCATGTAAGGTGGGGCGGCTGCTGTGGGTAACAGTTCAGCAGTCCCTTGGAAGGTTAAACCCAGGTTACCATGCGACCCAGGAATTCCACTCCTAGGTACAGACCCCAAAGAAATGAAACTATATGTCCACACAAAGACATGCACACAAGTGTTCGTAGCTGCCTCATTCATAACAGTCAAAAAGCGCGATCAACCCACATGTCCATGAGGAACGGCTACACCAAGTGTGGGGCGTCCACACAATGGAGTCTCGCTGGGCATCGAGAGGGAACGAGTTCTGACACGTTCTCCAGTGTGGACGAACCTTGACAACACTGTGCTGAGTGAAGGACACCTGTCAGAGAAGGCCCTGTGCTGTCACGGTTCCATCCACATAGACTGTCCACAACAGGCGAATCCAGACACAGACAGCAGGTCGGAGGCTGGGGCTGGGGGCAAGTCCCCATCAGGGGACGACAGGCTCTGAACTCAACGGTGTGGGGGTCAGACAGCACTGTGAATGTACTGCCGCCGCTGGGCGGGCCGTGTGCTTCAGAGGGCGTACATCCTGGCACCGGGTTACATCTCAATAAAGTGTTTTCAGAAAACAGAGTGAGATTGTTCGCCACCATTGACGGTTACCCTCACCAAGTCCTTTCCTGAGCTGGAATGCAGGTGCGACAGTGTGAATGGTTCACTTCCCTTTGTGTTTGGGTTAAAAACAATATTTACATAAGAATGTGGGTTTTCCTTCGGCTCCTCTGAGCAGTTGCCCCCCAAGGAGAAGGTGGGGAAGTGGGGTCCGAGGGCCCCGGCACACACGTTCCACTGTTGTGTGTACATTCCCTTGACTCTGAACCACATCACAAAATGCACAAACGCCCCCCTGGAGACACGGCTGCCCAACTCAACCCCCAGATTCCAAGGGCCTCTTAGGCAGGCTAGACCTGTACCCTAGAAGGCAATGGCCACCACAGCAGGGGAGAGACCATAACTCTGGGGCATTTTAATTAGAATATGCACCATTGCCGCACATTAAATATAAGCAGTGATAGTGGCCCTGGTTACTGCCCAGACCCGCATCTGCTCTCCCATCCTAGTGCGCTGGCAGAGGGAGAAGAGGAGTGGATGACCAGAGGGGACCGCAGCACACGTGGCCCGGCCCTCTAATTCAGTGCATAGTTGAACTGGTTTGCAAACTTCTCATGCTTCTTCCGATCCATCTGGTTCATGGCTGTGACCACCCTCTGCACGGCTGCCCTGTGTGGAAAGCAAAGCGAGACATGATCAGGGAGGCCCTGGCCAGGGCTCTGGGCTCCTGACCACAGCCTGGCTGAGACCGGGCACAGGGCCTGGGGCGGCTGCCGCGCTCGGACCACTCGCAGACCCCGGAGGGGTGACACAGCTCTCAAACAGCTGGAGCTGGCCTGTTCGCAGCCAGAGACCACGCTGGGCGGCTCTGCCCCTGAAGTGGCCTTGGCTGCGCCCTGGACTTCTCCTGTTGCCTCCCAGAGCCCTGAAGGCAGCTCCCAGGATCCCCAATCTTGCCAGCAGCAGGCTGCACCCCACAACGATGGCACAGCCTGCCCAGCAACCAGGTGGGGGCAGCGTGTGGGCAAACGCAGTTAGGAAGCGCTGATTCAGACTCTGCCCAGCTGCACACGGAGCGCCACATCCAGAGTCAGGGGAAATACTTAGGAACACGCAGCACACACACATCGACGGGCAGGTCAAGTGCATCTCACTGCCCAGCTTGGGTACTGTGACACGGGCGTCTGGACTCGGCAGGGCCTTGTGCCTGAGGCTGCTGAAGCCACAGTAGTGATACCCCGTGGTCCCCGAGTGCCCGGGGACTGCTGGGTATTGCTCCCGGGGCTCTACTGCCCTTCGAGGGGCTCGGTCACCACAGCCCTCCTACAGGGAGAGCCCCAGGCCACACGCTGCCTAGAGGAGCCAGCTCTTGCGCCCTGCGGAGAACACGTGGAGGCCCCTTGGCAACACTCCTCCTGGCGTTGGCACCCAGGGGGCCCTTCACCCTGGCTGATCCCCAGGAAACTGGCCTCACACCGGGGGCCACACCCTCCTCTGGATGCCGATGGGCAGAACTGGTTGCAGTGCGGAGCCCATGGGCTCCGTGTAGGTGCTGAGGAAGCCACCTTCCTGTCCAACCCCACTCAGGCTGGGTCCACGGAAGTGACACTGGCAGGAGGGCGGGAGGGGCCTCCTCTGCCTGGTGTGCAGAGCTGAGCGCCTTGAGGGTGTCCTGGCAAGAGAGCCGGCCTAGGGACCCGTCCTGACGGACCAGTGCCCGCAGAGTTGTGGCCTAACCCTGAAAGAGGAGGCCGCAGCCTCACGTGGTTTTCTGAACAACATGCCCCGTCTTCTAGCAACACCTTGAACACAGTAGGTGCCTCTGGCCGACCACAGCAGCGGGATGGGCAGTGGGGCTGCTGGGCTGGTGGCCTTTCTGCCATGGCCTGCCAAGTCCCCACTGGCCAGCCTGGGCTGGGGAGATCCACCCGACCTCTGGCCCCCAGAGCCGGCGCCTGAAGCAGCACGAGGCGCACCTGCCCCCCTGATAGCACCGGCCGAGCTCAGCTGGGGCTGTGACCCCTGTCCTGCCAGCCTTAGAAGTAATAGTCTTCACTGAGGGCATCACCTGCACAGCCCTGGGTACTGACTACGAGAGGCCCAGCCAAGCCAGCGCCCAGCCCTTGTGAGTCAGCCTCGGGAGAGAGTAACTTGGGGCTGGCTCTCCCCACCCCCGCGGCCAGTGAAGCCCATGCGGGAAGACGCGCTTCTGTCTCCCTGAGGGCAAGCAGCTCCAGGCTCCACTCCTGAGGGGCCTGCCGCTGGCGGGTGGCGCCCGTCCTGCCCGAGGGGCTGGCAGTCACGGGGAGAAACCTGCGGTAGAAGGGGAGCCAGGGAACTCCTTGGAGCCCAGTGGACTCCTGCCCAGCACCCCAAATCCAGGGGTGGGGGCAGGCCCTTGGCGAGGAGCTCTTACTTAGCGAAGACTTTCTTCGAGATGCGGGCGCGGGCGGTGTCGGCCTGCCGCTTCAGGTCAGTGAGGCCAGGGTGCTTCCTCCTCTTGCCTTTGCCTCTCCTGCTGGACCTGGACGCGCCGAGATCCACCCCCGTGGCCGCCTCCACATCTCTCATAAACTCTGGGTCCTGCCAGTCTGCAAACAGACGCCGAGATCTCAGGAAAGCCCAGCACCAACCAGAGCCCCTCTCGCCTGAGCCCCGACCCCTCCCTGACGTTGGGGCCAGCCTGGCTCGCCACTGCTGGCCGCTGGCCGTCTCAGGTGGCTGAGGGCAGCACGGAGCTCCTCCCCGCCACACTGACCCCTCAGGCAGGAAGGCAGCTGAGGCCGGTCGCCAGAGGACAGTGCCATCCACAGGCTGCTGCGCAACTTCCCCGCTGGACTGTGCTCCACCAGACCCCCAGCAGTGGCAGCCAGACCCGTCTGCAGGCTGGAGGGTGGGCTGAGGGGTCAGGGCAGACCGGACTTTCCTCTTTATGGGTCCAAAGATAACTTGGCCACAGGCCTCAGCCATGAGAGCATCAGCTCACCTAGACAGCCCTGCTCTCCCCGGCCATCACAGCCCAGGCCCTGCACGCAGCAGGAAACCGTGCTCTCAGGGAAAACGTCGCCTCGCCCTGCAGAGCCTGGCCTCACCAGCCCCAGGTTGCGGCACAGCCAGGCTGGGGTGCTCATCTGCCAGGATTGACGAGGCATCAACTGTCCTCGTGGGGCAGGGGGACCCCCAGCCAGGGAGGCACAGGCATCCAGGCTCAACTCCTGCCCTGGCAGCTGCTTCCCGTCTCCGTCTCTGCCTCTGCCTCCCTGGGCGGGGGCCGGGCTGCCTCTGAAGGGCCAAGCACGGGTCCACGAGACATGGTGTCGGGCCAGCCTGGCTGGCTCAGGAAGACCACCCAGGGCAGGGACGAAACAGCACAGCATCCCCTGTACCCAGACCTGCAGATGCCGACCCTGGCTGGAGAAAGGCTGCTGGACACACCCCACACTGACGGTGCCCACCACGCAGACGGGAAGCTCACGGGCCGGGCGCAGGGGGCCGGGCTGTGAGCAGACCCACCCAGTGAGGGCAGAAGCCACGTGCCCCAGATGGACAGATGGCGAGGCCGCCCCAAGTTGATTTTTTGAAGTGAAGGAATATGGGGCTGCACAATTCAGATAGAGGAACGATTAATCCAAGATTAAGGAAAACTGTCTAAACAGTTTATCTCCCAGTAATAAGAAGGCGTCACAGTTTAGGATCCTAGAGAATGGAGCAATTGTTTAAACACAACGGGAAAATGCCGGCACCCAGTGGAGATGGAATGAGCATCTCAGGAAAATGAAGGAGCAATTTAAAAGCCTTTGAAGAAAATCAATAGAAGCCGGGGCGCGTGGCCTTCCTGCGTGCTGACGGCCCGGAGCTCCGAGTGCACTGTCACTGAGGTGAGCGCCAGGGAAGAGAAAATTGGCCTGCATGCGAGGGAGGCGGGATCGATACTGTCGTTAGTAAAGAGACGCTATTTCACATCTGACTGGCCAGCCCGGCCCACGGCCGCAGCCGGTACCTGTTGTTAACAAGCCGCAGAGGCTGCAGAGCCAGATACTCTTCAGGCTGACACAGAAATAGCCACTTAATTTGCTCCTGAGTGTGAGCCACCAGGGAAAGCCTCGTCCTGAGGATTAGCGGGTCAGGGCCCCTCCCTGTGGCCCCCCTGGTGCCGGCCCCCGGCACCGACCCTGCGTGTCAGACTGAGATCTAATATTCGTCTCTTATGACAAAGGGGCAAACCCCACAGATGACACACATGGCCGGCTGGGACCCTCATGTGCACACCAGCGCTGCCCCCATGGACACGGCCACCTCCGCCTCCACCGGGGCTCTGGGCCCCCACGCATGGCCCTTTTCAGGAGAGGGGGCCCGAGGCAGCCAGGGCTCCAGACCCCAGCCAGGTGTGAGAAACCACGAGATGTCAAGACGGATCAGGGTTGCCTCGGTGGCCCCTCTTCCCCCGAGTGTGCCCACGTGCAGCCCTGCCTGTGACAACCACTTCTGTGTGTCACCACCCGGCCCTGCTGCTCAGGGGTTCTCTGGAGACCAAGCGGCCACCAGCCCGTGGCATGTGCCCAGAAGACAGCATTGACAACGCACCAGGAGGAGACGCATCCCCCAAACTATCCTGAGAACAACGTTCAGGTGGCTGAAGCCTACTGTCTACGTGGCCTGAAACTGGCTTACTGGGCAGAAAATGGGGAGCCCTGAGGAGGACCCTGGAAGAGCACTCTGTGGAGAGCCGGGTCCCCGAGGCACAGAGGCTCAGCCAGACCTGCCTGGACCGTGTAGCCAGCATGCTTGCCTTCTGCCCAGACGCACGCAAACGCATGCACAACACACACGTGCACATACACGACACACAGCACACAAACACTACACATGCATACAAGACACACAGACACGAACACACGCAGCGCACACGCATGCACACACCACGCATGCACACGTGCACACATGGTCCTCCTGCCTGCCATGTGGAGGGCTCACGGTGGGGCGGGCCTGAGTGAGAGCAGGGTGAGCTCTGAGAGGGCCTGAGCCGGCTCCTCTACGTGGACAAGATTCAGACGGCTGGATTGTCTTCCCTCAACTCATTTATCTGCCTAAAAAACACGACTAAGAACCCAAACAAGCGAACAAATGATGAGAGGCAGCTTCTGCCGTGGCTGTGTCCACGTCTGCCGTCAGGAGCTCTGGAAAAACCTGGCCTGACCGGAAGCCTGAGCGTACCCTGCCGCACTGCTGTTGTTACGATCAAGCCAGAGGCAGCCGGTGGCCACGCACAGAGACCACAGGGCTGCCCTGGTGGCCACCAGGGTCCAGGACTGTCCCCCGAGGCGGTGCTGCCCTCCATCCCCCCAGACCTACCTGGGCGCCCCGCCTGCCTCTGTAGCTGCTGCCTCTGCTCCCGGGCCCTGTCCTCCGGATGGAGGGGCTGGCCCACGTCGTCTCTTGGGATGATCTTCCCGTGGAACGGGCACTATGGCAAGGACGGAACATTCTGATGGCAGGAGGGGGCCGGCCGCCTGCCATTTGTGCTCTGGGGGAGGCTGGCCCACACGGCCCTTCAGTCACACACCCCTCAAAGGAAGGGCCCTTGGGGCACCACCAGGACGGAGCTGGGCATGGAGGGGAGTCTGCCTGAGTCAGTCTGGCTGAAGGGTCCCGTGCAGTGCAACAGGAGGCCTCGGTGGACAGAGAGCAGGCTCAGGATGTGCTGTGCAGGGAGCGAAAGCAGGAACAGCGTCCTGGCCTGGAGAGGGTCCCAGGTCCTGAGCCCAGACGTTAGGCTCCAGCCCCGGGCAGCAGGCCCCAGGCACGATGCAGCTGCAGCGGCTAAGTGATTCCTGCCAGCCAGCCACAGACAAGCCCTTCCCGGGGAGGGCGCCCCAGCCTAGGGCACTTCCCGCTGGCCGCCCCATCCTGGCCCAGCTGGGGCCCGAGGCAGCCACCCCCACATGCCCGCAGCCCTCGCCAGCCTCGGCCTCCGCCTCACCTTCAGCCGGTCTTGGCGCTCGCAGAGCCGGCCGTCGGGCCTTGGGGCACGGCACCGGTGCTGCACGGGCTCAAACCTCCCTGCGAAGGTGATATGGCGGCTGCGGAGCATCTCCGAGACGGCAGCATTGTTCACCTCTGCATCCACCTCGCTGGGCTTCCAGAAGCGGTGCTCGGAGTCAGATCTGCAACGCAAACCAGAAACTCAGCCGTCCGCAGGGAGGCGCCGGACAGGGCCAGCAGCAGGCCTGGGCTGGGTGCTGAGGAGGGCGCTCTGACTCTGGAGGCTGTCCCAGGCCTCACAGGACAGACAGGAGAAGCCCACCAGAGCAGGGGTGTGCAAAACTTCCCTACTGGGCCAACCTGGACCTGGCAGGAGGCAGGGCTGTGGGGGCCCACCCGGCAGCTGTGCTCCATGACGGGGTGACGGGCGGACAGATCCACGCCCCCTCGTCTCGGCTCTACAGAGGGAAAGCAGAGGCCTGTGCAGCGAGGGAGGCGGCCTCCCAGAGATTCCTTGCAGAATCCCAGGCCTGACCTACACGGAGGTCCGAGTCAGAGGACCGGAGAGTGGCTGAGACAGGGACAGAAGCGCTGAAGGACGTGAGGGCTGGGAAGGCCCCGGACCCTGGCGGACAACCTTCCTGGTGTGTGACGCCTGATCATCTGGGAGGGTGACGCAGACATCTCCCCAAGGAGCAACAGGTGGTTCAGGAGAGTCCAAAGGCTTGAGGGCATGGCTCCACAACCCCATGCACCTGCACCTGCCAGAGCCCGGGCTTCACCATCAGCTCCACATGGGGTGAGGGGGGATACCCAGAGGGATGGTGCCGCAGGCTGGGCCACACTCCTGGCTGTGTGTCCACTGGGGGAAGCCCCCACCAAGCGCAGGCAGGCGGCCCAGAGAACCACAGCTGCGTCTGCACTCACTTGAGGATCTTCCCGGCTGTCGGCTGCTCCTGGCCCCAGTAGCACAGGTCCACTCCGAAGGGCACGATGGGCGCCCGGGCCCGCTCTGCCGCCAGCTTTGCAGCCTCCTCTGGTCCCAGCGGTGCCCTGGAGGGGCCACAAGAACACAGCAGGATGCACTGACCATGCACTCTTGGAGCCAGCCACAGCCACTGCCTCCCCCTCTCGCTCTCCACACTCCCCGGGCACAGGCCTGGAGCCCCGGGGTCAGCACACTCAAGCAATGACCTCTGCCCCCTTAAGCCCGGGCTCCAGGGCAGCTGCTGAGGCCCTGTGAGAAACCAGGCCCCCAGCCCTGGTTGTCCCCAGAGAGCCATGCAGGAAGCTGGCCTCACATCTATGGTCCTCGCCCCAGGCCTGGGGGTGCCCTGACGTCCGCCCTCAAACCCCAGAGCCTGGAGCCCCCTCCCTGGCTGATGCACCTGTGCTGAGGCCCCCCACGTCCCCCACAGCCCCTGCCCTAAGCAGACGCCGGCAGCTGCCTGCCCAGCCAGGGGTGCACACCCGCGGCTGCTTTCAAGGAGCAGCCTGAGGAGGCCAGTGCTCTGGGCAAAACTGGGGCGTCTGGGAGTCACCTGGGGCTTCGGGGCAGGGACGAGGACCAGCGGCCCCGGAGACGATGCAGCTGGGCAGCAGCAGAGGTGGGGTCGCACGCCTCCTCGTCACTCCTCGTCCCCTTCCTCGCCTGCAAGTCCTGTGCGGCTGGGTCCTTCCTTAGCCCTGGAACAGAGACGTGTGCTCCTGGCCACTGTCCCCACGACCCCGAGAGACCCCTAGGGGGCACTGTGCTCCCAACCCCTGCTGAGGGAACAGCGGTGACCGAGTGGTTATGATACGGCCCACGTGTGTTAAGTGCAAAGTCCTCCAACAGCCCACAGCCACACGCCACAGAACGCCTGCCCTGCCACCAGCAAGCCAAGGCCAAGATGCTGGCAACTCACCGACATCCCCACCGGAGATGGCCAGAGACGAGGCCATCAGGCCACTGACCTCTGCAGGCCAGCATCCGTCTCTGGGTCCCCAGGGCAGGGTGAGGGCAGACTCCCCGACACTACTGGACCCCACTCACTCAGCTCCCTGGATCCACTGGCCTGCCTGTGCCAAGGCAAGGACCCCAGTCAGCTCTCAGGCCACCCCCCTCAGGGCCCTCCCTGACCCCTGGCGGCCCCTCTCAGTGGGGAGCAGAGGCCGCACTCTCCAGTTGCTGAACGAGCTGGTGTCCCAGGGCTGCAAAGGCGGCACGGGGCACCAGAGCCACTCCAACCCGAGGGCATCACCTGCTCCCCACATGCCCTCTAGCAAAGAGCAGCTCACACCTCGAGGGGTGTGAACTGACAGGGAAGCCGAGATGCGAGAGCACGCTGCCCTAAAAGAGAGAAAAGAAACTGAGCCACATGTCCTGGGAGATGAGAGGACAGAAGTGCACGGCATGCTCGCTCTCCAGGAGCTGAGGGAATATGCCGGAAAGACAGAACTCAGGAAGAGGAAGTGGAGAGGGAGAGTTCTTCTAAGGAAGATGACGGGCAAGAGGGGAGACAATGACTTGCCAGATGGGCTGAAGGACAGAGAGATTGGGTGAGGGTGTGTGCGTGAGCAGCAGGCGACCCTGGCAGCCCCGGGGGGAACGGGGCACCGGGGGCAGCTCGCACAGCTCAGAGGTGTGCAGGGCAGACGCACGGTACCAGTGTCCTCAGCACTGGATCCCAGAGGAGGAGAAAACGTCACTGGAGCATAGGCAACAGCTGAACAAATAATGAGCCCAACTCTCCTGGAACTTGAGGAAGACTGAGAGGGCTCGCTGAGCGCCAGGAAGGAGTCGGAGGGAAACTGCGGCTGGTGCCGCTACAAGCACATCCAAAAACAGGAAGGATGGAGAGAGACCTGGTCCTTCCCAAGACATCAACATCCTGTCGACGTCGGCACTATAACAGAACAGCAAGTGCACAAATGGGGAGGCTGTTCTGAGAGTGCTGGAGGAAGACACTCAAACACGGAGCGCTACGCCAAGCTACGCTGTGGCTGCTGAGTGCCGGTGAAGGACGACGACCTCGTGCACATGAGACCCGCACGGGACCGCGTGCAGATCTGTTTTGAAAACACTCTTAGAGCAAGTAATCAATCCGCCCAGAAGAAAAATAAGTTCAGGAGGGTGGGGCCAGACACGGGGGTAAGCGCGGTAAACGCCTTTGCAGAGCTGACTGCTGCTCCCTCTCCCCACCATAGTCAGAATTAGGCAGGTGTCCAGATGAGCCAACGCAACGGGGTGGCGGGAGACCAGAAGGGGCGAGAGGGCACTACGACACGAGTCTGGTGCAGGCACAGTGGAGACACTGATAAACTACACAAATAAATAGTGAATGCTAACTAGCAGTACGACTCTTTAAAAAGTTAGGGATAACCATCAGAAGAATAAATATTCTTATTATTTTATTTATGGCTAACGAATAGTTTTAAAACTAGCAGAAGAAAAGTTAATCTAGCAGATGAAAGGAGGGAAAAGAAAAAAACAAAACAACAGCAACAACCCTGAATCAGAGAGCAAGTGTAGTCAATGGACACATGCAGTGGGCCGGCCGACTGCAGCGGAAAACAGAGAAACAACGAATTAAATGGAGTAAAGTCAATCAAGGGACAGACTCTGAGTAGTTTAAAAATATTCAGCAATTTGTTTTCTATACAAGACCCACTTAAAACAAATGGTCACAAAGTTGAAAATAAAGGGATGAAAAAAGACTTACTACGCAAACAGGAACCAAGAGAAAGCTGAGATAACAGTTAACGTCAGAACAACTGGATTTCGAGTGAAAAAGGAAGATAAAAGAAGGAACATATGAAGGCGTCACCAACAGGAAGGGGTCTGCGCCACTGAGCAGCTCCGGAGCCTACAGCTGAGGTGGCTTCATGGACCCTCCCCGAGAGGCAGTCAAACAGCCTGGCAGGGAGCTGAGAGGAGACCATGGCACTTCTGAAGGACCAGCATTGGCCAGACTGTGTCCTTGGGCCACAGAGTGACCGTCAGAAGGAGCCAGACGTGAGAAACAGAGACAGATACAAAGTACTTCACGCACATGCACACACTCCTACACTCACTGAACACGTGCAGACTGACTTGTTTAGAGTCTTGCTGAAGACGTCTCTCTCCACTATCTACCCGCACAGACGCACGAATAATCCTGGATTTAAGGAGAAAAATCAGAAGGGAGATGACACAGCACTGAGAACCGGACACCAAGGAGAGTGCTTCCTGACCACGCAGGGAGCAGGGCCTCTTGGGGAAGGCAGAGGAGGGGAGGGATGGAGGAGAGAAAAACCAGTAAGAGGAGCCAGGCCAATGCTGACAGTGCCCGGCTCCCTGGGGAGGGTGCCTGCCACTCTGGGAGGGGCAGCATCTGCCTTGGGTGCTGGCTCTCTGCAGCAGGGGTCAGCCTGACACGACCCAGAAAAGGCCACACCCGTCGTCACTGCTTTGCAAGGGTGGGCAGCCTGGCCCCCACCCATTTCTGTACCCGGATTCTCGGCCACGCTCGTCTGCCTAGTGCCATCTGTGGCTGCTCTGCAGGGACAGCAGAGGTGGGTGCTGCCACGGGGCACCCATGTTTATGCTCTGACCCTTCCCAGAAAATGCCCTCCAGACACCCTTCAAGCCCGGCACACTACCGTGCGAATGTGGGGTCCACCCCAATTTCTTGGGTTCCTGTGGCTGAGAGTGGAGGGCACGAGACAGAGCCATGCAGAGTGACTGGGTCCACCCTTGGCCACCTGGAAGCACCATGAGCTCTGAGGCCGAGCTCAGGCGCACGGGGAAGGCAGGCTGGGAGCCCGACCCAGCTCTGCCGTGGACACAGCATCCAGATCCAGCTCACACAAACTTCCAAATGCCCCCATGCGGGACGCAGATCCCGGACGGTCAGCCCCACACGCGTGCACGTGCCGTATGTGCCCCCGCCCAGTGAGGGGGTGAGACAGATGAGTGGACGTGGTAGCGTTCAGACAGATACAGTCACAGCCAAAGGATCAACGTGAGGATCCCCAGAGTTACAAGAACGAAATATATTTTTCATTGATTTGTTGTTTTAAACCATTAAAAAGATGGGCGAGCGTGTTCGAGCAGGGTAAATACTCGGGGCACTAAAAACACTGCCATTTTCACTTTGTTGTAGAAAATCAATCTCACTGACGTACTTTCAAAGCAAAAATCCAAAAAGCAGACGGCACCCTCGGCCCCGAGCATGTACTTGCAGGGAGGAGAGCAACTTCTGAGAAAGAGGACACGCGTCTCGGCCAAACACCACCAGCTGCACCCTCCCGGCCGCGGGCGTCGGACCAACTACAGGATCTGGGCTCAAATCTCCCACGGTTGCTTTTAGAAAGATTCATAAAAATGCCCAAATCCCCCTTCTGTTTAAATGGACCAAGGGCCGCCCATTTGCCTGAAGCAACACAGCAGCGGAGGGAGCCAGCGAGCACGAGATCGATGGCTCGCGGAAACGGGGTGGCCAGGGCGCCAGCAGAGGTGGGCTGCGCGCCTGACATTATTGATTCCACCCCGCGCAGCTGGCCTTGTAATTAAAATGTAAATTTGAGGAAGAGATTATGTCCTGACAGAAGTGCCAGGATTAAGGGGAAGATAAAAGCCCTTCAGTGAAAATGCAGAGAAAGAAACAAGGAGGAGAAAGTGCCGGTCTCCTTGTGGCGTGGACTGAGAGGGAAGCCACTGCGGATGCTCCACGTTTAACTGAAATGACCGCGACGGGATGCGAACTGGCCTCATGAACTGGCCCACTGCGTCCTCCGTGTCTGCAAACCTCCAGAACTCACTCTGCGAGAGGCGGGACGAGGCCGGCGCCCCACCCCGCATGCCCACCACTGCCCCACCCGGCCTGAGGGCAGCCCCTCCACTCCACTTCCCAGCAGCGTGACCTGGGGTGTCTCAGGGGGCGGAGCCTGATACCAGAGCAGAGCCCCGGCCTGGAGACCAGTCCCACCTTCATCCTCCACACCTGCCCAGCGCCCTGGGACCCTCCTTTGGATCCGGCAACCCTCGGCCAGGCAGGGCAGCGGCTGACCCGCCTGCAGAGCCCCTGCGGTCCTGGGCTGCCACACTCTCCACAGCCACATTTTCTCACTAGACTCTGTCTAGAGAACACAAACAAACAGCGCCCGGCCCAGACCCACGTGAGCCATTGTCACCATCCAGGTTAGAAGGTCGAGAGCCACTCAGAGGGAGCGGTGAATGAGCAGCAGCACAGCTCCCGAGCCCAAGGCCAGGCATCACCTGGGCACTGTGCTTGGGGACACAGGCCCTGCTGGCCTGCAGCCTCACTGGAAGCGGATGGTCAGACACCGGCAATGGGGACCATGGCACAGCCGAGAGCCAAGTGCCACAGGAGCGCGGGGTAGTGGGGTGGGTATCCCGGGTCCCTGCTTCGAGGGACAAACACCTGCAGCCCAGGCAGGAGCGGCAGCGGTCAGATGAAGCTCACACGGGACAGCTTATCTCTGCGGCCGTGCCTGAGGCCATGGCTCAGCTGGCAACACCTGGAGGCGTGTTCACCCGCTGTGGTGCTGGGCTGGGCCGGGCGCCCACCTGTGCCTCCCCGGGGGCTGGGGCTTCCTCGCAGCATGGCAGCCCGGGCTGTCCAAGGAGCATCCCACGACCAGGGTGGGCCACGTGGCCTTTACACCCAGTCCTCTCTGCTGGGCTCTGGGTCAGCAGGACGAGCCACCTAGATTTAAGGGAGGCCAGAGGACCTGCACCGTCTACAGCCTGGCCAGGGAGCGGGGCAGCTCTGCCACCTCTGCTGACGGCCGGCAAGCACTCTGCCATCTGCGCGCCCACCTCCCCGTAGTCAAGTGGGGGCGGTGTAGACAGACCGCACCAGGGACAGTGGCTAATGGTGGTGTTATTATTACCAGCCACCGAGCACAAGCCAAAGGCCAGAGGAAACCTCATTGGCAGGACGTGCAGAGGGCCAGGCAAAGTGCCTGTGGCGAGACGACGAGCCGAGGGTCAGAGCCGGCTCCCAGACCCCAGAGGAGGAGCCCAGGGCCTCACGGCCACGCAGCTGGGCCCCTGCTGGGCACCAGGAGGGGTAGAGGACGAGGGGCACAGACAGGCCGAGGGGTCTGGGCAGACGAGACTGCCTGGCACAGTGACAAGGAGCTCAGGCAAGGGCCATCGGGCTCCGGGGCTGCAGGACGCTGGAAGAGCGGCTGGGGGCTGAGCAGGCCACCCCTGCAGGCCTGCCCCCGCTGCCCACTGTCCCACCCCAGCCGAAGGAGGGCAGTCACTGTGCCTGACGCATGCCTTAGCACCTCCCGAGTGCCTCGTGGGTGGGCTGGGGGACGGCGTCCTCCAGGGACCACAGAAGACGATTTCCGATGCGACGGGTTTGGAAGAACATAGATCGGAGGGCATGGGGTGGTGGGAGGGGGCAGCAGTCAGAAGAGACCCACAGGCTAAGGGCAGCAAGGCCGGGGCACGGGGTGAGGCCAGAGGGGTCGGGGAGAGCCAACCCACCAGGCCTGTCCCTGCCGGCCGTGGCCCCTGGAGGCCTGGCAGCAGGGACGGGTCTGGCAGCAGCCCCAGGCGTGCAGATGGCAGGCGCGGAGTAAACAGGGCCGTGCAGACGGAGTGTCGTGAGGCTGGCCGTGCTCACTTGGTGTGACACTCCTGATGGGCCATCCCTTTGCACTCAAGTTGTCTAATCATCTAAATCCTTTTAAAAAATTTACATTTCATCTTTCAGACTCTGATCAAATCAACTTGTCTATTCACCACAAAAGCCACAGGTCTTGTTTTCATTTGCTTCCTCTGGACGTGGGGTGCTGCCCCCACACTCCTTCTCCCTGGAGGGCCACAATCCTGGGGTGCAGAACGTGGCTTTTGGAGGTTTTTTGGAAAAGAAGAAAACTAGGCAGGAAAGACCAGTCACAGGCAGTTGGCATGACGTGGCTCCGTGTCACAGAATAAACGGACTTCCTGGACCGACACTGAGTCTTCAGTCCACAAATGGTGAGGACGCACGCCGCCTTGCTTGTGACACCCCCAAGACACGGCGACTGGGGAGCAGGGGAGCCAGAGAACATGGGGCAGTGGCCTCCTGCCATCGGCTCCCTCTCACCCCAAACGGCCGTCGCTGCAGGAACCCAGCCGCCTGCCCACCGACGCCCCCCCCGAGTACAGGAGCTGTGTTCACTCTCTGTCCAGGGGCCCATCACCCCTGGACTCGCTCCCCACTGTCGAGACTCTGCATCGAGTTGGGGCCCTGGAGGCCTCTGCTCTGTGTGGACAGCCTGGCTGTGCCCACGGGGACTAGGGGTAGGTCCTGCCCGGCTGGGGGACAGCGGGAGCCCGGCCTCCTACTCAGGCACAAGAGGAGAATGACACGATTCTCAGTGAAAGCAGCTCTGCAGTGTCACAGGACAGGGCCGCAGTGAACTTCAGGACCACATGGCTTGGACTGGGGGACACGCACCATGGCCACCCCCTACACATGGTGGGCCCCAGATCCCAGACGTGAGGTCACGCCCCGAGGGGCAGTGCCCTGAGCGGGACCCCTCAGGGCACCCCCCACCCCGCCACTCACCGTACTCAGGCCACAGGTGGTCGGGGATGCAGGCCTCGTACCCCTCCTTCTCCGGGACCTCCACAAAGTCCTGGTCGTCCTCATCCTCATCCTCGTCCCCCAGGGCTGCCGTCTGTGGAAACACCCCCAGACCTGTGCGTGAAAACAGCAGGCAGAGCCAGAGACGCCTGACTCTACTTCTGTGGAGCTCTCTCTCCCAGCTGGGGTCGGAGTTTCAGTCACGCCGGATACATTTAAGCTGGTCTCCAAGCCTAGTCCCCTTCCAACAATCACACTGGCCCTGCAGCCCTCCTCTGGCGGCCGTCTAGAGTCCAGTCCAAACCACGACATGGAAACCGCCCAGCTGCGAGCCTGCTGAAGCGCATGCGGTGGGCATCGCCGTGCAGCCTCGCAGAGCACACACACTTTCAAATCCCCGATGAGCCAGCAGATCTCCCTCCGACGAGAGGGAGACGGGCCCTCCTCCTGGGAGCAGCCGCGGGCTGTGTCCAGCTTATGCCAGGCCAGCTCCCCACTCTGGCCTCTGGTGGTGCCAGTATGACCACAGCACTTCTGCAATATTCCGTCTTTAACAATGACTTGTGAAAAGCCACTGAAGAGTTTCCTTTGGATGAGGCCACCTCCCAGGCGCTGGTCAGTGTGGTGCGGTTGCCCACGCTGGAGACAGCCCATTGCCACCGAAGAGGCAGGGCCACCTCCGTCCCTCCCGCCCAAGGACCTGAAGAACCAACACCTGGACCCTCCGCCCTCTGCCCCGTCCCATTCCTGGGCAGCACCCAGCCCGGTAGGAGCAGCCAGGACTCTGAGCAGGGAGGATTCATCCACGCAGGTCAGAGGGTCCTCTGTAAAGCAGGAGGGGAGCTGCCCCCTGGTGACCAATGGCCACGCTCACATGCCAATGTGCCAGGACCACCTACAGCAGGAGTCGGCGCCCGCGACAGCCCTGCCCAGACAGCCCTGCCACAGAAAACTCCCCCAGGCCTGGCTCAGCCTCCCTCTCCCACACCCCCACATTCTTAATGACCACACACAGCCCCAGGACGGGGCGTGGGGGGAGCGACCCCCACGGTGACCTGCCCTTCCTGAGAGGGTCAGAGTAGAAAGGCACCCAGAAGCCCTGCCCCACTGCCAACCGCACCCAGAACACTCAGGCTGACTCAGCCAAACCAGGGCGCCGTTTCTTGCCTCCAGCCTCTCAGGCCAGGAGGGGGCTGCTGCCCCCAGAGCAGCAACACCTGCCGCGGTGCCACAGCCAATTCCCGCCCCCCTGAAGGAAACATCCAGAAGGGAGACCCCTGTTGGACGAGCACCAACCAAGGGGACCTTCCAGGCTGTGAGAGGCAGAACCACATGACACAGCCTCCACTTCTGAAGTCCTCGACAGCCACACCACAGAGGCACAACCTCGGCCTGGACAGAGAAGGATCGAGCCTCCCAAACCCGCTGACCCACAGGCAGGAGCCATGTGCACGCCCCACGCCCAGCCCACAGCACCCCCAGCTGCCAGTCACCAGAGCCCGTGGCGGCCAGGGGCCAGGGGCATCAGCCCACACCTGGCCGCACCTGCAGGACCCAGGAGCCTGGCTGGCAGCATAATCAGATGCAAATGCACTTGTTTAGGTAGAACCTGCGGCCGTGCATCTGGGAGCCCGGGAGACATTCATCACTGGAAACAGTAATTTTTGTTATCAGTCTAACACTGATCAAAAGGGAAGCCTGTCTCCACCGCTGACCTGTGAGACGCTCCAATTATACTCTTTGGAAATGACAGGGGCACTTAACTCCGGAGCCGAGCAAATGACGACCATCAATCACGTTTGAATAACAATGAGCCACGGACCTGAAAATTATTTTTGTATAGAATCTACCCAGGAATTTATGAAAGGTGGAGAGCGGCCCAAGGTTTCGGGTATTACGGTTCTCGGCTGGTGCAGCGCGTTTCAAACACTAAACAGAATTTATGTGTTAATTTTCTAAAAGGTAGACGTGGACTGGGTGCTACAATGCGTAACACACAGTGCCAGGTTTAAATATGGGGTCATTTTCATAAAATATTACGCTTATTGCACACACCCTTGAATTTCAGCAGGGACTTTTATTAAATTTTCATTTCCTAAAAAATATTTAGCTGCTTAGCTAACTATTAGGAATTATACCTTCTTTCTCCCCTAAACTAAACTAAAACTGTTTATTCCTGTGATTAAATATGGAGGCCTGGGCTCCTCTTTGTTCTTAAATTAGTACTGTTAAGGCCGGCCAGGGCTGCACACGTCTCCACCACGACCCGTGTCCTCTGTAAACACCTGGGGACCCCGTCTGGGTCCACACAGCTACTGCGTAAGGTCCCCGCGGCCAGCCCTCCAGGCAGAACTTTGCTGGGACAACCCTGGGGCTTTCTCTGCAAGAGCCGCACAGCGTCCACTTCTGTACCTGAGCCTCAAATCTTTAGCGGCTGGAGTCACCACTCAAACTACGCAACGCAGGACTAGGCACTCTCAGACTGCATTCGAGCTGGAAGCTCCTATGCTCCAGTCTAGTTCATGTGGGGTGCCCTCGGCTGTCTGAAAACCCTGGAGCACGCAGGGCCCCTGGATGTCTGGCTCTGGGCGCACTGCATACCAGGGAAGGCAGGACGCCTGAAGTCACGACACAGTCACGGCTACTGTGACACCTGTGTGACCTGCTCAAGGGCCACACACCAAATGCCTGTTCAGAGAAAAGAAACAGCACCAGCCAGGCCACACAGTCCTCTCCAAGACCCTGGAAAGGGAGCACAGCTCAGGAAAACCGAGGCCCACAGGAAAAGGTCCATCTGTGCTCAGCAAGGGGCCAGTCCAGTGGTTCGAGGCAGCAGTGGTGGCAACCTCCCCTCAAAGTCAAAGATCACAGATTGGAAGGAAGCCAGCACTGGGGGGTGGGAGGGCAGAGCAGGGGCATGTGGACACTCAAGGATCCTGGGAAGGAGACCAGGCCCTAAGGAGGTGTCCAGCTGAAGGTGGGCGGTCTTCAAAGTGGGGTCAGACTTGTGAACTGTTCTCAGGAGCAGTCTGCAGGGAGCTGTGTCACAGTGGCAGTGACACAACGCACAACACGGAGCACCAGAGAAACTGTACCTGGCCTGGTCTGGGGCTCTGCCAGCCTGGCCGCTCCCGGGCGTGCGCCCGCCACCCCTATCTGGTGAAGTCCTCAGGCAGCTGGTCAGACCCCTGAGGCCAATAGGACGCCTCCTGCGCGTCATGGAGGTCTGGGGAGAGGGCCAGGCCCGCAGGACTGGATGAGAGCCTCCCAGATGCGCAGCCCGCGCGCGGCGGCAGGGAAGCGCAGAGGAGGGCTCCGGCTCCCTGCGGTTTTATACAAATTGACTCTCAGCCACAGTTAAAAGGATTTAGAAAAATGAGCCTCGGCAATCATAATTAAGCAAGCAATAAAATGGCTAAAATATACAACGCAATCAGTTTACAGAAGTCGGGCAGCGAGGTTACTAATTACTCGAGAAGGAACAGGAAGAGTGGCCTCACGCCGGAGCCGGCTGCCCGCCAGACGCGTGCCCAAGATACAGCTGAGGCCGTTAAATAAATTTTGTCCCATCTAATTAACTGGGGCACAATCTCAATTACTTTTCACCCAAGAAATCACTTTTGTTCAGTTTTTTATGTGTCTGTTTCCCTTTTCTTAAAAAAAAAAATGATGTAAAGCCTCGTCAGACAAGTGAGCTCCAAGCTGCATTTGTCTTTCAGTGGCTTGATGGCCATGCATTTAAAACCCCATTCTATCTTATAAACCAAAAATTAAACGTGCTCAGCTGTGATGGTCGTCATTGCATCTGCTATTTATATGCTAATACCCTCCCTGGAAGGCCGCGCAAATTGCCCAACCAGGCCAATATCTCATGTGCATCTCCTGCTGCGGGACGCACCTTTAGAGGGCAGAGGGACGGCACAGCGCAGGCTGACCACGGCAAGCAGGCGGGCACAGGGACCTATGGGCAGCACCGCCAGGGCCCAGTGAAGCCTGCTTGCACACCACCGACTGCGATGAGCATGTCTGTGACTCTAAAGGAGAATCTGAGAATGATACTGAAGCAAATCACCATGTTCTAGAATAACTTCCCTTTCTCATCTGATCTAAATTGGCCACAGGAGTCAGGTTCTGAAAAGGCCTTGCTGTGCAGTGCCGCATCCAGCCTGCTGGGGGTGTGAGAGGTGGCCGCCTCCACTGCAGGTCAAGAGATGCCTGGAGGTCAGTTTCCAGGGCAAGGCTGGGGCCAAAAGCTCTGTTGGGTCTGTAAACAGCCGGACAGATGGGTAAGGGCACTTCCATCAACCCATCGTGGGATGGTGGCCCAGGCAACACAGGCCAGGCAGCCGAGTCTGTGCTGCAGCCCAGATGGACAGCCCCCTCCTCCCGGGTGGCCAAACTGGGGCTTGCTGCTGGATTTGGTGTGAGATGTGGCCTGGGTAGAGGCTTGGAGCCAGTGCATTGGACTGGGAGTGGCCAGAGTGAGTGCACGCACAGGGAGCAGGCCATGTTCTCACCTGGACCGCCTGTACTTCACACCTGGGCCACCTGCACATCTCACCTGGGCTGCCTGCACTTCACACCTGGGCCGCCTGCATGTCTCACCTGGGCCTCCTGTACGTCACACCTAGGCCACCTGTACTTTACACCTGGGCCACCTGCACTTCACACCTGGGCCACCTGCACTTCACACCTGGACCACCTGCATGTCTCCCCGGAGCCACCTGTACTTCATACCTGGGCCACCCACATGTCTCACCTGGGCCACCTACACTTCACACCTGGGCCACCTGCACTTCACACCTGGACCACCTGCATGTCTCACCAGGGCTGCCTGTACTTCACACCTGGGCCACCTGCATGTCTCACCTGGGCAGCCCAGACCTCACACCTGGGCCGCGTGCACTTCACACCTGGGCCGCATGCACTTCACACATGGGCCACCCACACGTCTCAGCTGGACAGCCTACACTTCGCATAAAGCAACATCACATGCAATGGAGCGCCCAATCGCTTCATGGTTAGAGCAGCCTCTTGCTCTTACTCAGGAGGCTCTCACCCCCTGCAACCCACAGAGAAAGCTAACTCAGGAGTGGGAGAAGAAAGCACTCAACACTTGCTCCTCCAGGGCCCGATTAAAACCTGCTCTCCTCCCTCAGCCTGACCTGCTCAGGTGAGAGCACAGGTGGCCAGAATACCAGCCCTGGTCACAGGGGCAGGGCAGTGCTCACCCTGTGACTCTGTGGGTGGCATATTCAGCGTCTTGGTCTTGGGAGGAAGCCCACACAATGTACCCAGACTCAATCTTCTCATCTGTAAATTGGGGTAATAATATACTCTATCTTCTGAGGCTGCTTTTGAAATTGAAGGGACAATTCTATGTGGAGGTGTTCAGAAGAGAACAGGCCCGTTCAGGAAGGGAGACAGGATGCAGGTGCATGTGCAGCAGTGTGGCAGAGCCCAGGGGCCGGGGCCGTGCGGCAGGGCTGGTGGAGGGAGAGGGTTGGCCCTGAGCAGCTGGGCTCTGGCCACTGGGCCTCAGACACTCTCCCAGTCCTCGAGAGAGAACGGTGTGTGCACACCCCACCCCCAGCTGCCAGCTCCCAGCACCCGGCACCAGGACCAGCTTGGCCTTCAGCGTGATGGAAGGGGCGTGTCACCAGGAAGGTTGTTTACTGGCCCTGCCATGTGCAAGGTCCCGACGCCGCTGATTTAGTTTCCCTGCCTCCCTGGGGTGCCTAACGCACCCAACATTTCACTCCCTGGGTTTCCTGCTCTGTCCTTTCTACCTATAGGAAGCCAGTACGCACACGGCTCCAGCAGCACAGAACACTCGTCCACACCACAGCAAAGAGAGCAGCCGCCCCTCGGCCGCACCGGCGCAGGCGGGAGGTGCTCCCTGTCCGAGGAGCAGTCTGGTAGGAAGGCTAGTCCAGAGGGCAGCAGGCGGCCAACTCAGAAAGAGAACCTTACATAGAATCAAGTGGATTGATCTCTGTCTTTGGCAGGAGTGAGGACGTGTCACTGTCAAGACCACGTGGCTGCCACATCAGACTGGGGATTGGTGAGTGGATATTTCAGCCATTTAAACCTATAACCCAATAATTAAAAAAAAAAAAAAAACACACTCCTGATAGTTTAAATAGACTGATGCTTAAAATTATTTTTTTCTGACTTACTGGTTTGTAGAAAATTAACATTTTGTTAATTATACAACACAAAATCATTGATGATCTTAGCTACATAATTAAATGGCAGGCAATTTAGAAGTTTTCAAATGATTTTTATCAGTTTAACGAATGTAGCAGCCATGGATTATTACACCTCTCCTCCAACAGCAAGGCTAGAAACTAAATCTACCAAACGATGCTCCATATTGATCCACCTAAGATTTATCCCTGGCCTGCTCCACATGCAACGGAGACAGGGACACTATAAAACACACAGTTAAACATATTTAAACTGGCTTAAATATGTTTAAAAGACAGAATATCTATGTCAAAAGGAAGACAATACGCAGAAACCAACAGCAACAAACAGACGAAATGGGAACTCCAAAAAAAAAACAAAAGGCACAAGGCTTGTTCCCAGGTGGCTGCGGGCGGCAGGTCCACCACGCCGGCGTCCCCTGACCTCCGAGGACAGGCTCAGCTCCTCTCCATCATCTGGGCTGCCGTCCAACTTGAACCCTGAGCGTCACACTTGCTTCAGCCCCTTACGTGTTTCTCAGAAGTCCTGACACGTTTCAGTCATGCACTGCTCCCAGCTCAGCCTGCTCTCCCCACGGCCAGGAGGCCGAGCCACGTAAGCGGGAAACACCAAGGCAGTGATTTAAACCCAGGACGTTTCATCTGAAAATGTGCAAAGAACTCGCTCCTAATTTCTAATTCCCATAGACCTCTCGGGCGGGCAGCTCCTGGCCTGCACAGAGCGTGGAGCCGATGTGCAGATATGCGCCGCGTCTATTCTGGGAAGCGGCGTACACCTGAGCGGGGCGCTGCCACTCCGCCGGGCGAGGGGCCCAATCGCTTCATCTCCAGGCACCACAGCCGCCAGCAGGATGAGCACACTCTCTGAGGATTTCAGAGCAGTTCCTTTAAGATCAGGCTGTGCAGAAGCGTCTGCAAGTGTCCGCTGGGCTGATGGAGGCTGTGCGACTCCCTCCCCTGAAGCCACTTCCACTGCAGCTCCGCCTGACAGCCCCGCAGCCACAGGCCCTCAGAAGCCTCAGGTGCCTCCTCCCTGCACTCAGGCACCTTGGGCAGGTCTGCTGGCCAGGTCATGTGGCTGGAGGGGGCAAGGGCCCACGCGCTACCCGCAGCACAGGACACTTGCTGGCTGCCCCTGACTGACCCTGTCGTCCTGTGTGCGAGGGAACAGCGCCCCCTTCACCCTGCCTGGAGGACACAGACACAGCCCCTCGCCAGCCCCTCCAGCCTTCAGAACGGAAGGCGCTGTCTCCTCGACAGAGGGCGTCCCACCCGTCAAGCCGGCCCTGGCCTCAAGCAGCCTGAGGCTGCCCCACTTGACACCCAGGCCTGGATACTCCGTGCCACCCACAGGATGGTGCGAGGGCCCCACAGGCCACGGTGGAGACAGCGCTGACCCTAGGCACAGCAGCTAGTCCCACAGAGGCGTGGGGGTAGTGCCGAGGGCTCCACTAGTGAGGGTCTGAGTCACACGTGAGCTCAGAGGCGGTCGAGGTGCCGACAGGGGAGTGCAGGCAGGCAACCCCCCAGGCCCCCAGCCTGGTACCTTGCCTGTGGCCCCCGCCCACTGCTGACTGGGCCTTTCACATGGCACCCAGAGCAGGCTCCTCCCGCACGGGAAGCCTGAGCCCCTTCAGTCTCCATGAGCCCCCTGGGGCGTCTGCCTGCAAGAGGACTCATCCCAGTGGCCGCCCGCCCACCAATGTCCCACAGGGCACAGCGGGGCCACAGGTGAGCCAGCCACGCAGGAGCGCCTGGTGCCCCAGGTTCTGGTGCTGGCCGGACGCAGCTTCCGGGGACACGTTGATACTCAAGCCCAAGCCTCACTCAGCCCGTCGGGAGACCTGCCCTCCCCCGGTGGCCCTGGAGGAGGCCGTGGAGTTGTGATATCAGGGGGAGGCAGCGGCAGGCCATCCAGAAGGTTCTGTTGCCAGCCCTAGCCGTGCTGCTAGTCCCCAAAGGACCGTGCAGGCTAGCCTCAGGCCTGGCGGGGCAACATCACGCTACCCAGCGACACCTCACAGCTTCTTCCCCAAGGACGCCCGCTGCACAGAAAAGGAGGGCGCCAGCCTGGGTGTGTCAGCCCCGCTCCTCCAGACACAGCCACGGAGGCCAGTCCTCAGGTTGCTGAGAAGGGGGTGCACAGGGAAGACACCCCAGATCCCCACACCCCTCCCTGCTCTCAGGCCCAGCCTCCTGCTCTGACGCCCCGACCCTGAGTCTGCTAAGGTTTAGAAATAAATTCCTCTCGGCGTGCTAGCACACGCTGACCAGATCCATCGTCTCCCTCCCATGACCAGAAAGCGACCTTTTACATTGCAAAAAAAGTTCCTTGGTTAAAATTCACAAAACTAACTTATTTCTTAGTTAAGTTGCACACTCCAGCGAAGCTCTGTGAGGAGCTGGTGAGCGCCCACAGAAACCAGGCTCCCCAACAGGCAGCCTTGAGCTAATTACACTGGCACCTGTCTGCCTGCGTTTGCCTTCCTGATTTCCTCGCACTCGCTCCGTCCTCGACAGAACGGCAAGATCGCCCTCTGCCGGTCCCTGGGGGCCACACACCATGCAAAGTGGAGGACAGACGTGGGGCCGCGCTTAAGACCCCTGGGAAACTGTGCTGCTCAGGAATCCACCCAGTCCTCACAGGCCCCGTGGTGGCAGGCAGCAGGGCGCTGTGAGGGGGTGGCCAGTGGCCCCGTGGGGGCAAGGGCACCGAGCGTCAAGACCCAGAGTGTCGGCCACTCTCATATCCAGGTCTGAGTGGCTTTCAACTTAATCTTTTTCTCAGCAAGAAATGGTGTTATTTTCCACCCAGAACTTCCTTCAGAAACAAGGAGAATTAAATCTATGGCCTCTGGCCTCAGGTGCCGCCCCCAGAACCATGGCCCCTGCCCTCCTCTCCCTCCAGGTCCCAAGGGATGTGAAGCTGGTGCACGAGCTCGAGGCTGCGGCCCAGGCTCAGTCAGGGTGGGGAAGGGGCAGTGGGCCCGCACCCGGTCACCAAGTGCCCCCAGTCGGGCCACAGGCCTCTCTCGCGCCTGCTCCCGCTCCGCGCGCCTTCCTTGGGGACACGGCACTCAGAGGACCAGCTCCTCCCTTGCAGACCCCACGGTCTCCACGTGCCCAGCACACGGCCACCCTGACCGCCCTCCCTAAGTGGGCACCAGTCCCCACATTCATCCCGCTTGGCCACCTGAGAGCTCCAGTGGGGCCTGCTTGGGACGACGACCGTGCCCACCTCCCTGCACCAGGGGCAGTGCCCTCTGCGCAAGCCTGGAGGGACACGTCCAGACTCTGTGCCCTGCAGGTGCCCTGGCACCACGCGTCCTCGGCTACAATGCAGGTGGCGAGATCTCCCTCTCCAACTAGAACCTTCCACCCACTCCCCTAGCTCACTCACCACGCCCTCCTGCCCTGGACCCCGTCCTAGTCCCTCTGGTTATGAGGACGCCCGGGCTGTGGCCTCTGGTTCTTGAGTCCAGGGCTTCCATTTCAGAAAGTCAGTGCTAAGTGAGACAGGAACCGGAATGTCTTGGAGCCCCAGAGACGACTGCTTGCTGAGAGGATCAAAGGGAGGGTCCCCTCGCTGCCCCCCCACGCGCGGGCGGCACTCACCTCCCTTCTGCGCGCCCCCTCGGGCTTGATGTCCAGCTCCCCGGATCTCCTCAGTGCAGTTTCCAACTCCGCCTTCAGGTCAATGGCGCTCTCTAAGTGGCCACCATGGGTCCCTGCACGGGTGAACAGCTGCCAACGAGGGGGCGCGTCACGCGGGCAGGCGGGGTGCCCTGCAACACCCCACTCTGCCCGGTGCTCCCTGCAGGGACCTGACAGGACCCCCTCACCTGCACCCAGGAGCATGCGGCCGGCAGGAACTTGTTGCGGATGAGCTTGAGTGCATCCCGGGCCGAGTGGATGACGGCGCAGTTGTCCTCGTCCTCCCGCACCCGCAGGCTGTCTGCAATGAGGTGCAGGGTCACCGGGGGCACAGCGGGGCCCACGGAGGGTCACCCAGCACCAGAGACGGGACCACCCGGACTTCTGCCCACCCCCACGCCAGCCAGGCATCACCTGCACCCCGAACCTGACGTCACAGAAGATCTGCCGCTCCGTGGTTTTGGTCAAGATTATTCTGGCCTACCCAAGGCCTCCCTCCACAGCAGGCCCGGAGACCTAACGGCACGCACACGCACAGAGACCCTGCCCACGCTGCTCCCAGGATGGAGGCCCCACCCGCCCCTCGGCCATGGGTCCTCTCTCTGGCCCCGCCACCTCGCCTTTCCTCGGCCTTACCGCCTTGCTGCTTGCCATCTGTTCCCCAGCCCCACTGGCCCTCCACTCCGGGGCCAGACAGCGGTCAGCTCCTCGGGGCTTGCAGGGCTCAAGGTAGGGGGCAGCCAAGCCCTCCCGCAGCGACCGTACCTAAAGGCCCCACCCCTTTCCACACCCACGCAGAGAGTGGGGCGCGGTGAGGAAGCCAGGACGAGGGGGCCAGGCCACATGGTGAAACCACAGGTCTCTGCCCCTTCCCTGCCTGGTTGCTGGAACACGGGGGCCATGTGGGGCTCTGGTGTCACCACAAACACCTCGACAGGCCATTTCTCGTTCACATTTCCTCCCAAGCAAGAGCGGGTAGTGCCTGACCCCTGGCAGCTGCCCTCTGACCCAAGAGGGCCTGTGACTGAGCAGCATACCCGCAGCCTCCCCAGGGGCTGCCCGTCACTCGGAGCGTCAGGCCCACCCTGGCCACCACGCCTGCACATCACACCGAAAGCTACCACACGACCCACGGTCTCTAGTCACCCCTCACCCAGCCCCCCACCCCAACCTTGGGGGGCCCTGCCCTGCTCACAGGCCTGGGAAGTCTGAGCTCTTGGAAGCGTCCCTGCGGCCCATGGCCAAGAAGCCGGCACGGCGGGCAGCCTGGGCCAGGTGGCGAGGGAGGGCCCTGACCAGCCAGCAGGAGCCAGGTGAGCCGGTTACCTGAGGAGAGCTCCACGTCCAGCGTGTACTTGTGGGAGCCCAGTCCGTGGCTCCGCACAAACCCTTCCTCGTCGCTGTCCTCGTCCTCATCCTCCTCCTCGTCATCCCAGGGGGCCCCCGTGGTGGCCCAGGGGGGTCCCTCCCTGCCGACAGCTCCTGGACCACGTGCACAGGCAGGCAAGGTCTTGCTGCAGCATGGCTGCTCCTCGTCCTCGTGGCCGGGGGCGCCAGGCTGGCGAGGGCCACCCTCCTCAGACACGCTGGAGGCCATGGCAGGCACGGTGGCCCCAGGGCTCAGAGCCAGGTCAAACGGCACCAGCAGCCTGAAGCAGCTCTCCACCTCCGTGAGGCAGCACCGGATTTCCTCGGACATTTCTGCAAAGACCAAGACGCTGCTTGTCAGGTCCCATCAGGAGAACAGCACCACCACCCCAGCAGGGCCCACCGTCAGAGGAAGGCCATGTTGCAGTAGCAGGCGGGCCGCCCGCACCATCAGCCCTCTCCTTCCTGCCCTCGACAAAGGTCAGTGCCCCGGTGTAGTTGGCAGGGGCTTGTAACTGCCTGAGAAACCACCAGCGTGGCGGTGTGCAGCCCTCCTCCTGGACATCCTGGGTCACACCAGGTCTGAACTGGGCTGTGGTGGTAGCTCGCTGCCACGTCTGTGAATACCAAGTGAGACGTGCTGCCACAGGCAGAACTTCTGGAAGAGGGCGGCCAGCTGAGAGCCATCAGGACACATGCTCCTTCCCAGTCCCCCAGTGCGAGCACACCTCCACCGCCCCACTCTGGCCTCTAGCCTGGGATCTCCCTGGGGCCAGACCAGCTCTCCCTCCTCGGGGCACAGTGGCAGCTTTGCGGCCTTTCCTGAGGCTGGGCTTCCCAGAAGTGCCTTCACCTGGGGCTGCCTCCTGCGTCCCTTACACCCTGGCTGCCCCTCATAGGGAGGCTGCCAGGAAGCAAATAGTGGGGTATTTGGAAGGGGCCATGAAATGAATGGTCAGGGATGCACATCACCCCTTCCCCCGCCTGGGCAGCCTTACAGGAAGTGGTCATCTGAGCATGACCACCAGGGGGCTAGGGAGAGGCGTGGACAACCTGCAAGGGCCCCTCCCAGCGGAAGCCCTGAAGGTTCTTGTGACAGGGCTGGGTCTGTGGCTGAGTGTCTCCCCCAGCCGCTAACCTGCACCGTCTCTGCCCAGCTTGTCTGCCCACCTGCCGCCCCCCACCGGGGGCAGACCCTGTGGTGCGAGGAAAGAGGGGTTGGACACAGCCCCGGGAGCTCTGCCTGGGAAGGAGGGGCGGGGGGGCGGACTCACCCTCCATCTCCCTCGCAGCCTGCTCGGACCTCTCCCTGTAGATTCTGTCCAAGCGCCTTTGCTTCTCCTCTTCTCGCTTTCTCTCTGCCAGAGTCCTCGCATTCACATCTTGAAAATCCACCTGAGAAATGGAGACAAAGATTAGACCTGACCATAAAGAAAATAAAAGTCAAAAATGGGCCTAAGAGAAGACGCACCAGCAAACAGCCAGGGCCTCTGCGGCTCACTTAAGATCACAGCGTTTTAAAACACAAGGAAATACACTTAACTACGATATTTCATCCGCGGAAAAAACACAGCCAGCAGCGTTTCCTACCAAGACAAAAGAGGTAAAGAGACTTCCAGCCCCGAGCATGCACAGGTGGGAAAGCAGCCTGCTCACTCCAACCAGCATGGAAAGGAGACTGCTGGCCAGACCCAGGGGCCTGAAAATACCACCTGAGAATGGACCTCAGACGCACGGCTGGGGAGGCGGCACCCGCAGGCTGTGAGCAGGGACAGGCCGCAGCGAGCTGAGACTGGGCAAGGCCTGGTCTGCTGGAACAGGTCAGGGAGAGGCAGCAGCCAGTCCTGGTGGGTTTCATCCACCCAGTACCAGCCAGAGGCGCGCAGACCCAGGTGGGGACTTGCGGTGTGGGGTGGGACAGATCCTAGAGGGCCGCTCGCGGTCACAGGAGAGGCTGCGCCTGAGAAGCTGCATCTGACTTTTCCTCTTCTCGCCCTAGCCAGGTGCGCAGGCTCAGCTCCATCCACACATGGGGATGGCTTTACACTCCTCCTCCCAAAGCCGCTCCGCGTGTCTCGGGAGCCCTGACCACCCCACCCCACTGGCTGCTCTCTGGCCTGCCCCCCACAAGCAGGGCCAGCAGCTAGAGCTGGGTCTCTCCACCAGGACAGCGCAGTGCGAGGCCACCCACCTGCTTGCTGTGTCTCAGGAAGTGGTAGCCCAAGGCGAGCTTCTTGTAGGCCAAGCCGTACTTCTCGTTCCAGCACTGGATGGCCCGGGTGGCAGCCTGCCTCAGCCTCTGGGCCACCTCCCTGGGGGGCGGCAGGGGGTGCTCGTGGTCGGTGCCCAGCGTGAGCTCCAGGAACTCCTGGAAGTCAGAGACGACCAGCACCCGGAACTGGTGGGACCTGGCAAAGAGCTCGTCCATGATCTGGAAGGCAGAGAGGCGGATCTCAGCATGCTCCTGGCTCAGCTGGGCCTTCAGCAGGTGGTAGGCATGGCCGAGCTGCTCCTCCGAGGACCTGGGAACGAGAGCCATCCTCACCCAGCGCCCGGACGCGAGGACACGTCAGCTAGGCACACGGTGGCAGGTGCGTGCCCCCAAACCTCTCCCTTTCTTCAGAGCAGGGGGAAGAAGCCACTGCCCACGGCCAACCCAGCCCCTGCCTATGTCTGCGTGGCCCACAAGCCAAGAATGGTTTTTACACTTTTAAATAGTTAGAACGAATCAAAAGAATGATACTTCAGAACACGACACGGGCAAATTCACGCAAGATTCTGTGTCACTGCCCGAAAGGTTTTACTGGGACATAGCCATGCCTGGTCCGCCACATGGTCCCCGCTGCTGTCCAGGCTGAGCCATCCCAGCAGGGACTCTGCGGCTGCAGCCTCAAGTTTTCACCATCCAACCATCCACAGAGTCACAGAGAAAGTTGTGGAAATTCATAAGGAAAACCCAACCAGACCAGACCGGGAAGGCCACAGGGGAGCTCCCGCCCCATCACACACCTCAGTTACTCCAAACAGGAAGGACAACCACTTCACTACTGAAGGAGGATTTCTCTCCCCGCAGGCAACAGCCTGGCCAATGGGAAACACTGCAGCCCAGCCAATGAGAAGCCATTGCCACCTTGAACTGTCACTCTCCCCCAATGGGCTTTCCTTTAGAACAGCCCCTCCCTCCCCTCCTTTTCTCTATAAAAGCAGCTCCCTCGTGTTCTCTAGATTTGCCGCTGGTTCCAGAGCATGCGTATCCTGAAGTGCAATTCTTTTGGCTATTCCCAAATAAATTTGGGCTTTTCAAGTCAACAAAGTCCGCTGACCTGGCACCCAGGCGCACAGCAGACTCCACCCCAAGTGGAGACCACACTGCCCGGCCTCCCCTGCAGGTGCAGCCAGGCTACAGGAGAGGGAAGGCTCTGTGGCCTCCTGGCAGCTGCCCTGGGAAGGAGCTGGCCCACACTCTGTGCCCCCTTGCTGCTCCTCCTCCCAGCCCACCCACCCCCAGCCCCATAAGCCACTGCTGTTTCAGGGTTTTCTGGAGCATACAGTGAAACTCGATCTGAGCTGAAATTTTTTTATCAAAATATAAGTCCTTTATCACTTAAACAATCACTTAAGTTTTCCTGCCTTGTAAATACAGGACACGGACAATCAGTACACCTTGGATTATGTTGTGTCTGAGCAGCTGTCAGCAGATGCCAGCTGGCACCGTCTACAGGGAGAGAAGAGTTGTGGACATGCTCTAAAGACAGACAGTTGCTGAGGAACAACCTGCAGTCGGTGACCTCTAACCTTCGTGCCATCAGACGTTCCAACAGTAAAGAAATAGACGTATAACTAACCTATAAGTCACACGCATGCACTCAAGGACATATGCACTCATAAATTACGTGCTCTATCACACACACACACACACACAAACACAAGAGAGTAACCACAGTCCTAATGCACTCTCCCCACACGCACACCCCCACCCTGGGACCACTGCCCCAGAACGTGACCGCCGGCCAGAGCGGGCACTGCAGGGCCCTGGGGAAATGTCCCAGCAGAGGGAGGCGATGGTGGGGGCAGGCAGGGGAGGGCTGAGACATATGCAGGTGGTGGAAGGCCGGACCCCAGGCGAAGCCCCTCAATTTCCCACGGGGTGTCACGGACTCGCTGGGCCAGCCAGTGACCATGAAATGCTGAACCTTAAGACATACTTGCAAATTTTCTTCAGTTCCTTCATTTTCTCAGGATTCAGTTGGGGTTCTCCTGAAGTTGTGAGCTCTTCTACCAACTTTGAAAGTTTTTGATCCATATCTAGAAATAGGTAACATAGACACTGAGCAGCCATCTCATCCTTCACAGTTCTCAGCTTTATCAACAAACATTTACTGATCTTGGCTGTATGCTGGGCATTCAGGGGGCCGTGGAGCTGGGGTCCTCGTGCCCTGGCCTCTGTGAGATGACCTCCTGGGTGTTGAAAGGTAACATTCAAGGTAATATTCCAAGTGAGGCCAGCAAGGCCCTTCTGGTGGTGATTAGGGAGAACGCAGCCACAGACCCGGAACCCTGGAGCCCTACAATCACACGGGTGCCCAGGAGCTGCAGGATGGCTGTGCTTGGCTACGCGTGTGTGTTAAGGGAAGAAATATAATTGTCTAAATTATATTTACATTAGCTTTTCCCAAATGTGACTGTAGCACTTTCTCACTTGCCAACATTATTCATTCACAACCCACAAAGCAGCCTGTAGAGACTGCAAAGAGTGAATTCTTTGCCAACTTTTATTAACAAGAAACCCGATTTGCGCCTGGGGAGCCACCTGGATGCCAGGTGCAGAGCTGGCAGAGGTAGGCAGTGCAGAGCGCACAGGAGGAGGGCAGGAAGGAAAGGGCCGGGATGGGGGCGGCCGGGCGAGTCTCGCTCAGCAGGACTGAGCCTGGGGGACGCCTGGACGGCTGCAAGGCTTTATTTGGCGGAGGGGCCGGGACCGGCAGGTGTACACGGCCTCTCCAGGAGGCTCGAGAACAGTACCATTTATTGTCGCTGACCCCGGCTCAATACGCACGCGACAGCGGCCGGGGGCGGGGGGCCGAGCACCCCCTCCCCCAACACCCCCGCTGCCCGCAGACCCCCTCCAGGTGGACTTGGCCTGCTCCCTAAGCCCGGGGCGCTGCGGCCCCGCCTGACTGAGGGGGCGTGCCGGGGAGGAGAGACATCCTGAGAACAGGAGAGGTGCAGCCCAGGGAGGAGGGGGCGTCGGGCCGGGAAGGAGGAGAAGGAGGGGCCGTCGTAGTGGGAGGGGGCGTCGTCCCCGGCGGGGAGAAGAAAAGGAAGGGGGCTCGGCCCGCAAAGCGGGCCCTCCCTCTGACCCCGCCCCGTCGCCCCCGGGAGAAGGTCGACTAGACCCCCAACCGGCAGGGCGGCGACCTCTGCACCTACCGCGCAACCAGACCGCTCGCCTCGCCTCGCCCCGCCCCGCCCCGCCCCTTCCGGCGGCGGGCCGCCGCTGTCACGTGCCCCAGATCTCTACAGTCATTGGCTCGCCTGGTCTGGGTGGTCAGAAACCGAGAACAGCGCGACCTACCGCATCTACCGCGAGACGCGGCCGCTCTCACCTTAGCCCCGCCCCTTCCGGCGGAGGAAGAAGCAACTTCCGGTCACGTGTCCCCTAGCTCGGCAGCCAACGGCTCGTCTTGACCAAGGAGGTACGGGCGCGGGGGCGGGGCCGAGGTCTGCGCAAAGACGCAAGCGCGCTCCCGGCAGGGGAGGGGCGCCCAGGGACGGCGACGCGCGAGAAAAAGGAGGCGGGAGGGCGCAGCAAGTCCTTAAAGGGGCCGCGCGCGCGGGCGCCGGGGCTGGGCTTGCCCGAGGCGTGCGCGCTCGGTCTTCTCCCCGCCGCCGCCAGGAGGCTCGCGGTCCCCGGGCCCTGCGCCTGCGACGACCCGGCCGGGACAGCCCGGGTGGGAGCGGGTGCGCGTTTCTTCCGGGGGCCCCGGAAAGCGCGTCCCCCACTCGCGCCCCTGCGCTGCCGGGAGAGGCTAGGAGGGTCGCGTCCACCCGGGGCCGGGTTGGGGGTCGCGCCGGGCTCCCCCTGGTCCGGGGCGAGGGACGGGGCCCCTATGGGACCTGAGGCGGAGGTGTGGGCCTGGGATGGGGCTTCAGCGAAGTGAAAGGGGGCGGCTTTAGGGGCCGGGGGGATGGTCCAGCCGGGAGGGTCGGCGGTCAGCGCGTGCAGGGCCGTTGGGCAGGGAGGGGCGGAATGACCAGTCCCCCCAGGTCCCTGCAGGTGGCCCCACCCCTTCCTCCAGGGTTTGCGCCCACGTTGTCATTAGAGGCATCGCCCACCTGGGCAGACTTCCTGGGTCGTGTCCGCCCAGAGAGCATCTGTCTGTGTAGACCGCCGTCGCCGGCCCCCTGGCACGGACCCTTCCCAGGCTTCGTCTTTCCCCAGGACGCTGCCCCTCCCCGCCTGCCCAGTGGCCTGTCCCGCTGAACCGCCTGCATCTCAGCGCAGCCCTGGGGCTGGCCTCGGTGTGGCCGTGGGCTGGGGAAACCGCGGCCTCACGTCCCGAGAGGCTGGGGGACGTGGACATTCTCCGTATGTCGTTTGCTTCTTGTGTGGCCAGGGAACGCTAGGGTGGCCCGACGACACCCCCAGGCCCAGACCCGTGGTCTGCCACCCTGGACACGGGCACCCACATGTTCCCCGGGCATCCGAGCCCGTCACGGCCACCGCCTGCCGACTGGGGCTCCCAGCCAGCTTCCCAGAGGAGGACCCTGGGAGTGCTCCCAACACCTCCTCACAGCCAGACCCTGATGAGATGCTCACCTCCCAGCCCACTGCACTTGCCCCTCATGGCCCAAGGGGTCCTCTCAGAAGGCAAGGCCGGTGGCCTCACCCCAACTTGGAGCCTGCACTGTGCTCTCCCCTCTTGCTCTGTGCTCCCCCCTCTTGCTCTGTGCTCCAGCCTCAATGCCTTTGCACACACTGCGACCCCCGCCCAGCACTGTGCCCTCAACCCACAGCCCGCTTCCTCACCTGCCTCAGCAGCACTCTCCTCCATCAGCTTTATCTCTGCCCTGCCCTCAGGGAGTCCCCTGGTGCCTGGGGGTCTTCAGTGCCCAGGGCGGCACCAGCACAAACAGGAGCTTGGAAGCAGATTGGGTGTTTCCTAGGACCTGGGGAGGCGGCAGAATGGGATGAACATGCTAAAGACACGGGCCCCTCGGGCGGTGCAGACACAGCAGTTCTGTTCTTAATGGCAGGCAGTGGGAACAGCCCAAACGTCCATCCACAGGTGATGGATGAACAAACTGCCTGTCCTCCAGCCTTAAGAAGGAGTGAGGTGCTGACGTGCACTGCAGCATGGACGAACCTCACAACACAATGCTCAGTGAGGAGCCAGAGAAAGAGCCAACCATGGTGTGCTTCTCATCACACGAAATGTCCAGAAAAGGCAAAGCCCCAGGACAGAGAGCAGACGAGTGGTTGCAGGGCGGGGAGGTGATGATTAGTGACAGCTGATGGCACAGGGGGTCTTTCTGGGGCAACAAACATGACCTAGAAGTGGTTGCACAACCTCGTTGCCATGCTGATTTTTAAAGGGTGGCTCGTGCGGTAGGTGAATTCCATCCCAATGAGGCAGTAATTGAGACGAGAGGACGGGTGGGTAAGCGCCCGATCCCGCCAGCCCTCGCCTCGCACTGGGCCCCGGGGCTGTGGTCTGCTCCATGAGACCACGCGGGTTCTGTGCATCTCCTGCGCACAATTTTGTTTTTCCAGTCTACGAGATTGTTCTCATCAGCGTAAAAGCACGCTGTTTTTCCCGTCCTAACAAAGCCTGTCTCTGCACCCAACTTCTCCCCCAGCCTGTTGTGTTTTTGGCCCCCCCCAGTGGCAGGATTCCTGGAGGAGTGGTCTGCTCGCCTGTGCCTCGTTCTCCTCCACTGCACCCGCGTCACCTGGTTCTGTGATGTTTTCGGGGCTCCATCCAGTCTGCCATCCTGAGCTGCTGCAGCGACCTGCCCGCCGCCCTCGTCTCAGCTGACGGGCAGACATCTGGCCTCCCACTCACTAGGGCCAATAACTGGGGTCCCCCGGACCCTTCTTCCTCTCACCCCGTCCAGTCCGCTCAGAAATCCAGACGGCCCCACACTCAGACGGTGTTCAGAACCCGAGCACTTATCACCACCCCGCTGCCACCACCAGGGCCCAGCTGCCACCCCCTCAGCAGCTCACTGCAGTCTCCTGTCTCCCCACTGCTGCCCTCGTACCCCCAGGGTCCATTCACCTTGCAGTGGCCAGACGGACCCTCTAGTCTCAGGTGGATCAGGTGCCACCTCCCCCTCCAATGGCTCCCATCCCAGAGTAAAGCAGACCCTTCCGTCTGCCTGTGGGCCTTCCTGACATGTGCTTGCCCCTCTGCTTCCCTCCAGCCTCCTTGGGCTTTGCAGAGCCAGCCACTCTCCCCCTCTCTTGTGCTGTCACAAGGCCTCCCTCTCTCCGTTTTCTTAGAGTCCTCCACTTTGTACCATGGCAGTTACACCATGTGTCACACAAGGCTTGTAATTTTATTATCAGTTTGGGTTTTTTCTGTCTTCTCCACCCCCAGGACATATGCTCCATGAGCACAGGGATCTTTGTTTTGTTTCATGAGGTCAGGCACACAGTAGGTGCTCAATATTTGTTGAATGTTGAATGAATAAAGAAAATCAGCAGAGATGAATTATGGTGAGAACCAGAACATATTTTAAAAGAACCACTTGGAGGGCCAGCCCTGTGGCTTAGCGGTTAAGTGCGCGCACTCCACTGCTGGGGGCCCGGGTTCGGATCCCTGGCGCGCACTGACTCACCGCTTCTCTGGCCGTGCTGAGGCTGCGTCCCACATACAGCAACTAGAAGGATGTGCAACTATGACATACAACTATCTACTTGGGCTTTGGGGAAAAAAAATAAATAAAATTAAAAAAAAAAACAGCTCATCTCATTTAGGCTGAGCAAGAATTTTGTCATTCTAACTGTTGTTTACCATTCCCCCAGAGCCCAGAATCTCT